CCCCCCCCCCCCCCCTTCTCCCCCCTTACCACCCCCTACCACCCCCTCACCGCATGTCGCCTTCTGTCCACCGTGCGGCTCTGGCTGCGTTTGGCGTGTGTGTGGTGCTGCTGGCTGTGGTGGTCAGACAGTCTGCCATACCACCACCACCACCACCGCCACCGCCACCACCACCCACCCATACTCATCATATCATTCATTTGAAACAAAAAATGGTATCATCTCATCGGACTCGTACTTCTGCTTCTGCTTCTGCTTCTGCTCGACGTCATCGCTTATATCACATGCCGTCGCTACAGCGTCATCTCTTTCAAGCTCTCGTTGCAGAGAATCGCATGGCTCAGCTTCGCCTTGGTGGCTACGTCGAGGCGGTTGGTCCGCAAGATCGGATCAGCGAGTCGGTTGGCCGGCGAGATCAAGTAAGCGGGCAAGACCTTGCAGGCGCGGCGGAAGATACCTCGGCTGACTACCAAGACGACTCTGCGCCGGCCGGCAATCATCTCAGGCCAAGGCAGCAAGCAAAGGTGATCATCAGGGTCGGCAGAGAGCACGAGCTGGTGACGGACAATGTCGTAGTACGCTTTGGCGACACCAGAGAAGGCAGCACTGCTAGCGCCCGCAGTCTGCGGCTGGTGCTTTCCGGCTCGACGCCAGGCCTGTGGCAGCTGGTGGTCGACGGCGTAGAGACCGATGAGCGCGGGATGCATCCCACAGCTGTATCAGGCTCCATCAGAACCGAAAGCCATGTGGTGCGGCTATTCGGCTCGGCTGCAGTTGGCCCGCTGATTCTCACAGCTGTCGAGGTTGTGGCCGACGACGCACAGTGCCGGCTCCCACCTCCGCTCTCGACTCATGCCTTGGCGGGCGATGTTCGCACCGACAGCGCAGCCGCTGACAGTGACGGGCAGCTGGCGGTCCCAGTGCTGGACACCCGGCCGGGCTCGGCCAATGTAATCTATCTGGACTTTGACGGCGAGAATGTGACCGAGACCGAGTGGAACACGCAGTACGGCGGGCCGATGGCTGCGGCACCGTTCTCGATGGACAGCAACATGACAGCGTTTTCTGCTAAGGATATTGCGGTCATCACCACGATTGTCCGCGGGGTGGCCGAGGACTACGCACCGTGGGACATCAGTATTACCACGTCACGGGCGCGGTACGACACGGCGGACGTGTCGTCACGGTCTCACTGCGTCATCACCAACTCGGTCTTTGCCGGCTTCAACACCGGCGGTGTGGCGCACATGTACGCTTTCCCGGACTCGGACTACTGGCAGCCGACGTGGATTTTTGCGTCGAACCTCGACATGGACGTGCAACACATTGCCAGCGCTGCCGCGCACGAGCTCGGGCACCAGCTCGGTCTCTTTCACGACGGACGGACCGGCCTCGGCGAGTACTACCCAGGCCACGGCATCGGCGCCACATCCTGGGCCCCGATCATGGGCCTGCCCTACGGCGCCTCCATCACACAGTGGTCCGACGGGGACTACTTTGGCGCAACCAACACCCAGGACGATGTCTACGACGTGGCATGGCTCAATGCCGTCGACCCTGTCCCGGATGATGTGCCCGACTCGCCCGCCCAAGCTCTCGCCCTTGACACAACTTCGATCCAGGCCGGCGCTGTCCTCGCGTCGGGCGTCATCTCCAACCGTAACGACGCCGATGCATTCCTGGTTGTCGTCGAGCATGCCGGCCCGTTCGCGCTGGATGTCACCACGCTCTCGCAAGAGCTGCCGGGTATGGGCAATCTCGACGTGAGGGCAGAGCTGTACGATGCCAACGATGGATACACCCTCATCCACGTGTCAGACAGCCCGGACGTGGTCACCGCGCGCGTCCAGGCCCAGGCCACATCTTATGCCAAGAACTGGGTAGTTGTCGTCCGTGGCACAGGCTGGGGCCATCCGGCGTCAGCCAACACAACCGGGTATTCTAACTACGGCTCGCTCGGGGCGTACACGCTCTCGGTCAGCCGCTGGCCCGCCGCCCCGGCGCTCTGCAACAGCTCGTCCGTCCGCAACCGCGAATGCGAGGCCTGCGTCACCTACACGGGACCATCGGGCCCGTGCTACTTCTGCCAAAGTCGCGCCGCGTGTCTCGGATATGTTGAGGCGAACACTACGTGTCCTGGAAATGCGATGGGTTTGGGATCTTGTGTGCTGCCATCGCCACCGCCACCGCCGCCGCCTCCACCGCCCTCACCGCCGCCGCCTCCACCGCCATCGCCCCCACCGCCGCCGTCGCCCTCACCGCCACCGCCATCGCCGCCACCATCGCCCTCGCCCTCACTGCCGCCGCCTCCACCGCCGCCGTCGCCCTCACCGCCACCGCCATCGCCACCACCATCGCCATCGCCCCTCCCTGTACAGCAGCCCGACCCTATCGACCGCATATCCACACTAGAAGATAGATCGATGTACTTCGAGGAAGATCTAACACGCCCAAGATCAGTGAATTT